TTGTCCCCTCTTGACCCTTACAACTGATTTTTTTATCAGGCTTCCCATCTGACTGCTGCTGCTAATATTTGCTAAGCAATGCAGACCTGCATGGGCTTCAGTGCAATAACAGAAACACCTCAGTTTCACAGCATGCATTGTCTTCAGGGTGTTATCCAGAGCAACCACACTCTGGACTGCCAAGAGGTTGAAAGCACCTGCATTCAGGGTTAAAATAAGCAAATAAAAATTGAATAATCCTTTAGTCATGAAATGTGGGGCTAGATACAGCCAAAATACTGACAAGACAACAATTTGATACCCCCAGTACCATCCAGTCCTTGTCTGTCTTTGTAGGGTATTTTTTAGAAATAGGGAGTGTTGTGGTTTGAGGCTTGGAATGGGGTCGTGACCTTCCAGCAACTGGGAGGACCCCGGGTGGGGGGGAACCATTGTATTCCCTCCCCTTCCCACACACACTCTGATAAGAGGCAGGGAGTGGTTTCTAATTTCACTCCTGCCTTGGAGCTCAGAGAGGGAGGTTGTCCTTTCACTCCATGGGACCCTGGAACCATTTCTGAGGGTTTTGTATATTTTATTTTTTTGTACTTTTCCCCAAATCTTTGTATATATTATTTTCCTTACCTCCCTTTTTCGTTTTCTGTTCCCTGTTAAACAATATACTTCATTTTTTTTCCAAAGTGTCTCCCTCTCCCTCGGGGGGGGGGAGAGTCGAGTACATAGTTCTGTTCCGTGTGGGTCCTGCCCTGAACCCCTTTTTACACGGAACCAGGACAGGGAGAAATATTTGGATCCAATTGGATAATCTGCATTCATCAGTAAGAATCTCAGGAGCTCAGCATCTGGACCACATCAGGGGAGCAAGGCAGACGTGGTCCAGTTCCCCATGGAGGAGAGGACCGTACTGCCTGCTCCTCTGTGGACAGCACTGTTGAGCTCTGTGCAGCACCTCTTTTCCCCACAGGTTACCACATGTATCATGCAAAACATGCAGACTGAGTCATTCCCTTGAATACATGGTCTTCTGCTGCCATGGGGGTCCAGGTGGTCTCTCCCTCTCTTTGTTATCTGTCCTCCCCACAGTATTTGAAGAACAGCCACCCTACAACTGTCCAGCATTCAAGATGATCACACTCCTCCTTGCAGTATACTTGATAAAGAAAACAGCAAACCTTTAGGTATTAACGTGTGCAAACTGTTAACTACCTCAGTTAAAACCAAACACCCTAGAACAATGCTCTCCCCTGATTCTGTACCACAAAGGGAGATGCCTGACTGGCACAGGGCAGGACACTGGACTGCAAAAGCTGCTGACACAACCTCGCATGGTCCCTGCTGCATCAGGGAGCTGTGCCTCCTGCATCCCTCCCCAGACTGCAGCGTGAGATGTTCACAACCACACCAGGCAGCACTAAGGAGGTCTTTGTGCAGCTGTGCTGGGGAGTTAGGAGCACGAAAAATCTGAATAACCAATCTTAGCTTGCAGAACAAGCAGATGCCAGAGTGGAGGAAGAGCAACTACCAACTTAGTTTTATCCTTCATGAATGGTGCCAGAAGCAGACAGAGATGCAGAAGGTGGGAGTGAATGGGCAGTAACCAGGCCCTCCCTATCCTCCTTCCACTGGGTTTGCTGCTGTAGCATTTCATTGCACAGGGTCTTTCTGCTTCCCCTTCCATCCACCAAGCTTTAGATAATCCAAAGTGTGACAGGATGCAGATAGCTGCTGAGCCCTATCCTTCCAGAGATGTGGCTTCATTTATTTTGTTACAGTTATATCCCTGTGCTTTGTCCTACCTGACTGCCTTGCTTAGGCTGGGGCAAATCATTCCTTCAGGTCTGGATGGCAACTTTTCCTTAAAGTAAGCCTGGTTAATCCATGCTCCACCACCCTCAGCTACATGCGAGCTGA